CGACCTGGTCCCGAACAACTACAACCCATTCGACATACAAGCCGTCAATCAAAGGGGTACCGACAAATCAGGTTTGGGAATGCTACCGATTCAAATCCACATATTCTTTATTCACCCAGCATTCTGCAAGTTAATCACACTCCTTTTCAGAAAATGATCGAAAATTCCGCACTTTAATTTCAATGATTTTAACGATTACGACTCCGCTCTCCTGACCTACTTACTGCAAAACAACAGTTTAATATAGTGCGTAGTTTAATGTAGTGTGATATTCATGCTCACTTGAACATATTTTTCCCAGCCATGAGACTAACTCTTTTTTTTTTTTATTTTAAAATATATATATTTAGCTGTCCTTTTACTGAACCATACATATAGGAGCCTTTTGCTCTCAAAAAAAAAGAAAAAAAAAAGTCTCTGATCACATGAAAAATTTCACTCGGCACTGCCCTTTGTGTATCGAAGTTTGAGATCTATCCATCCTCCAAATGAAGCCCAACAGCCCATCCACAAAGGTCATTCTGTGGTCTCACACCAAAAGTTTGTCTAACGGATCGGGGGGGGACTGTATAGCGGCAGTCGGTTTGTCATGGACTTAAGATTTAAGCGTTTTATTATGGTGTAGCACCATTCCCAGTCTATTAGAGAGGGATAGATTAGATTAAGTGAGATTTAGCTAAGAGGTCCCACAAGGAAAAAAAACAGAACACCACACTAGATACTCCACAATGAGGTCAAAAGTAATGATGAAGAAAATATATATTGACTGAATCCAATGGTACACGTGTCTGAGGCTGTTTGCACTGAACCCACTAGTAAGAACTAAGAGGCTGTCAACATGACCCAAATGAATCAGTTCCGGTGTCTTTTCAGTAGGAACATGTGGTGGTCGACCTCACCATGCTCCAATCAGAAGTCACACCTCCTTCAGCATTCGCACCAGAAAAGGGCTACGAGATCCAGCATTAATCTGTCCTCTGCTACCTGTTAGCAGCACTGAATACCCAATACAGTGCAAACAGAATGACTCACACCCAAGTCTAATCATGGTACTTTAAGCGTAATATTTTTTTTTAAAATGAGCATATTGTATAACACCACTCAGCACTGTGCAATAACAAAAAAAAGCAAGTTAAACCACGGCTCAATTCAACAGAAATTTTTCCCCAGCTTTCTGCCATCTCAGACAAAGCTTAGCATATAGTTAAAAACAGGCAAAGTTCAAACGCATTCCACTTTATGACGTCATGAATGCTAGTACCTTGGGAATTCTGACCAATACTGTTGGAGCCTCGGTAACGAGTTCCTTCATCATGGTAAGCCCCAGACACACACACACACATACACACACAGACACACACAGACACACACAGACACATACATACACAATGTAGCCATTTCCTGCACCCAACTCCCATAAATTCCCCCCTCCCTGATCTTACCTCAACACCCCAAGCAATTTAATCCCACAATAGAAACTCCAAATACAATGACAGCCACACAGATTCACATGAGGAAGAAAGGGATGATATTACAATACATTTTCCCATACTTCACACTGAAAAACACACCAACATGGAGAATGGTTGGCTCTAATGCTGTTTATTTATAATCTGTGCTGCTATTTGGGCAATGAATCCGCATTCAATCCAAATTCGCTGTCCTCCTGCATTTCTGATTCTCATTCTGCATAGAGAGACATAATGGGAGAGAGATCGTGGTGAACCGTTATTCATAAATAACGCTCATCTCTCGCCATGTATTGAAACTTTTTTTTTTCTTTCAAAGACACCCCTTAAAGTCTTAGAAGAATCAGTTTTCATATCATAAGCCACAAATTTCTGCACTGCCTACTTACTATGTTCAACTTTCTGAATATCCCAAGACTACTATCTTAACACAACCATGTCACACTTACCAGCCGGATTAACAAATCAGTCAACTTATTAGCTATATGAGTACAACCTAAAATCTGAAATTTTACTACTAAATGCCCATTTTATACAGAGATAAGAGGGGTCTCACACATTCTAAAACACAGACACAAAAGCACCATTTTCCAAAATCTATGCTGTCACGCAATTAGAGACTTCCTGCTCATGCAAGCCCAACAATGAAAATGAAAGGTTTACGAGACGTTAAGAGAATGGCCTAAATCTAACCTCCTGCATGCTAACATTCAAATCAAAACATGGAGAGATGAAATGTGTGTACACTACCAAAGTTTCTCAGGTTAACACAGCACTCGATAAAATCCCAGTGTGAAGTGAACCACAGAGACACCCCTCATTAAATTCTAAGCAAAATTCCGTGGGACCGTTAAGCATCTGACTTCAGCTTTATCTGAAAGTGAAAATTATAAATGTAGCTGTAGATTAGTACTACTCAGCAAAAAAAAAAACTTTTACAGGTAGATTTTAGTTATAGTACTAGAAAGTGCGTAAAATAGTTTGGGCTGGAACTTACTCTGCAATTTCATACCTCTCATGTGGCTGCTTTTGTAGATCTACGCTAAAAACTACAGACCACAGTGATAAACGATCAGGGAGGGAAAAAAAAAGCTAACCCCCCCCCCTCGGATTTTTCCAGATGCATTGTCTGAATCCTCAAAAGTTATGCCTAATTTCGAGCGCTGTGGTCTTGTGGGACCTGCAGATGGCGTTTGGTAAAGCCAAATGAGTGAAGGGTGTCCGCAAGCCTGTCGGGGTAAAACAAGAGCTTAATACCAGTCTAGGCATTTATAAATACTCCTTTGCTTGTTGGCTGTTCCCTTCAGCTTGTGGAAAAGCCAGTTAATAAATGGTCTGCTTCAGCACTGGGCCACACGTGCTGGTTTGCAGATCTCAGTTTCAATGTGCCTTTTGTTTGACTGGTGGTGTTTCAACATCCTCAACTTGAATAGAAGAAGGTCAGCACAGTGCTTCTGCCCTCGGTAATTCAGAAGCTCAAACTGGGGCCCCACTATCGGGGTGGGGGGAGAAAACTTAACTTGGCCCCCCCAGAGACATTCACCATTTCTAAACCAAGGTCCGGCAACCTTATTGTCACCCGAACGACAAACAAACACATCGTTTAATGTAGCACTAAGAACGTGTAGCGACTACAATCACAACATGTAAACAGAGCCTTCCTTGATAATACCTGCATTTGTTTTTAATTACTGCTCAGGACGTAAACGCTGAGAGTTTTTCATGCGCAGGAATTTCCTCCAAAAGAAAAAAAAAATGTATGACAACCCCAGAGTTTATCATAACCCTCTGTTCCCCCTGCTAAACACACAATTCAATGCTTAAAATTTTCTCTTTTTTTACCAGAAGACATCATCTACCACGAGACATTTCACCATGTTAAGCAGGCTACAAGCATGCTTGATCAGGAATAGAAATGTAAAAGAATAGATAAACATTAATATACATTATTCTGCCCCAGGATATTCCCTTCCATTTGAGATCAGAGTGGGGGGGAAAAAAATCTTGCACAGCTATTAATTTGACCCCCCAACTGAAAATAAGCTCCAAGCCCACCGGTTTACGTTCGAGTAACAAGGAAAAGACGACTTGAACCCGGACACTTATTGTCATGCAGCTGCTGTTACAATGAATTAGCTTCATTTACATCTTGGAAATGAGGAGATGGCCCACAGGATTACTCTGAATTCACTGAACACAAACTGCTCCATTTGCTCTTCAATACTGGGACAAAATAGCTTCAATCCACTAAAAACACCTCTCCGTGACAGCCCCCCCCCCCTCCTGCAATAAAGCAATTTCAAGTAAACGTGAGCATTGATGTTATGTTAATGGAAAGGCTGATCTGTGCTTAATATTTCAAACACTAACGTTAAGAGGAAAGAATGCAAAAGGGAGGCATGCAAGTTCCATGTGGAACACGAGCACCTTAAGCATGCCTTTTAAAAAGAAATAGACACCGTTTATTACAGTTTCTCTCTATTAAAACTAGTTGTTGTTATATGATTATTTCAGTAGTGCTCCTTCTGTAGACCTTACTGCTGCCAAGCAGTCCTTCTGTGAGTATTCGCTCTTTTTCCCCCTCACTCACTCCCTCTCTCTCTCTCTCTGACAATAGTTAGAAAGCAGAGCAGGGTGATCTGTCTGGCTTATTTTTTTCCAGTTGGCTGTTCTTTTGCTTCCTGGACAGATGTACTGCAATGAAAGGGAACCTACTCCTCCGGCTTGCCCTGAACGAGAGGCCCTTCAGTCCCAAATGACGGCATATCCAGACAGCAGGAATTTACAGTAATAATTTATATTTAAAAATGAAGACAGACATATAAAATATCCCACATCGAGCTGCATTTCAGCCCGTACAAAAAATAAAAATAAAAACTTTGCACACATTCTAGGAATGATCTGGCCCAAAATTTCACCCGGTTTATTTGTTAAAATTCAGCAACACTGTTACGACAGCATGCATGAAAAGCACAACACCGCGGAACATCGGTTTTGCAGTCAGAAACGGTGCACGGAGCCCAGCATCGGATCAAGCGTGTTTTAACTAGTTATTTAGTGACGCCTTATTTTGTCAAGCGAAAAACGAGCAGCCGAAATCGTTTGCGAACTGGAGTAAAATGCCTCAGATTTACAAACGCGGCGAGAATTCACAAAATAATAATTATAATAATAAAAGTGACCCGGACCCACCTCCAGGGCGCCCGGCTCCGGCTGATTGATCGCGTCTTGATTTATTACGCTTACAGGCATAACCTACATAATACGGAGTAGCGCCTCGGACCGTCGAAACGCGGCCAGCGCCGGGAACAACCTGCCCGGATCCCGATCCGGATCGAGGTGCTTCCCCCTTAAAAATAACAGCAATGACCATAATAAAGGCTCCCCGACGCGGCGAGCTCCCGGCTGCTGCTTTAAGTGCTCCGCCACTCCATTGTTGAACAGGATCCTCATCCAAGTAGACACAAAACCTTCCCAGGCACAAGGCGAAATAGGTGTGAAACCAGATACGGAAACAAACGCGGCACTTACTTACGTATCCTATCCGAGCGGAGAGCAAAAGGGGGAAAATCCCGTGTGTTTTCGGATCTTGTTTTTTTAAATATCTTCTTTTTCCCCCCCTTCTCGTAACAAACACCGAGAATGGACTCAACGTCAGTGGGTGAGTAACTGAATCAACTAGCAGAGAGCACAGCAAGTTGGAGTGTCAGATTACATCGGCTATTCTATTACCGAAGGGCCATGCACGGCGGCTGCCGCCAAAACGCGGCCCGGAGTGTCCGGGAGCGGCCCCTCGGAATGCGGGGCCACGGCCGGGGGAAGCCGCGCTCCGCCTTCGTAAGCTGCAGTTCTGGGCTGGCGCCGTTCGGGCAGCACCGGTTCTGGCATGTTAACGAATGACCGCAACTACAGAACCGTTCGTTCTTGTCCGTTTATTATTATTATTATTATTATTATTATTATTGTTGTTGTTGTATTGTTGTTTTTTATTTGTACTGACCCACGATTTTGTTTGTTATTCTGTATTTTTCTGCTCCAGAATGTCAGTGACAATCAAAATATCAACAGCGTAGTTTTTTTTTTCTTAACAACGACAACTCCGTTATTGCCAGTATAGCTTTAATTACAGCATAGCTTTCTACGGCAAAAAGATTTTGATTGGCTGGCAATTTATTTCAGCGTGTGTCCTGTTTAAGACGACGTTAATACTAATTATAATTATGACTGAACTGGTATTATAAGTGTAATCAGTTATAATACAGAATGTGAAGTCTACTACTACTACAAGTACTACTACAACTACTATAATAATAATAATAATATAATAATAATAGTACTGCTAATAACAAGAACAATAATATTAGTAATTTTAAAAATAATAAAAGAAGAATTTGGATGCTGCTTATTTTCAGTCCAAGCACCTTCAACTGAATGAGGACGCCTTAAGTTTGCCCCAGATCCAGCGCAAGGCTGTCCCGCTCTCCGCAGTTTCGGGCTCGCCGGTCTCCGATGGAAAGCTCTGAATAACAAAGACATGTCTGAGAGCAGCAGCGGCGGCGGCGGCAGCGGCAGCAGCGGGTTCGGCTCAGCGCTGACGTCAGGGAACAATGACCGTGCCAGCAGCGCCGCGACACGAGCCCCCGGTGCGGCCGGACTCGGCCAACGGCAGTCGCTGCTGCAAGGCAAGTTCTACAGCTTTGATTATATGGCTAAAACTATGCTTTTTAAAATCGTTATACGTATGCCATATGGGAATACTCGTGTGTATTATATAAATTTTAGTTTTTAAACTATTGAAAATTATTACTTATGTATATTTCATAGTTACGTAAATTATAATTTTATTGTATGTAGCATGTAAATATTGTTTACTTTGTCTAAGTATGTCTTTTATATTTGCCGTCTTTCTGGTTCATTTACCTTGGGGGAAAAAAATTAGAATTTTATATTTAAATAATTTTATATCGTTTTAGTCATATTTCTACCACTTGGAATGTAGAAATTTTGTTTGATATTTGACATGTTTACATTGTTTAATTTGATATCGTAGCACATACAATTATAGTCCAAGCAAACAGACAGATCAGTAGCACTGGAGAAATTAACAACGCTCAATAATGTGCAAAAACAAACTCATTTCGAAGCAGCAGAATGTTGAACTATTCACTCGTGTCTTCCATATGTGCATCTACAAATCATTACAATTACATTACATTTAAAAACATTTACTCCAATAGAAACTCCATCCATCAGTCTTCTGGGAACCTGTCCCATGCAGTACAGGACGGCTGGGGCATCCCCTGGATGGAGTGCATATTACTGCCGTTTTCTAATATTTACTTCTGTTATTTACTTGGGACGATCACACACAATGGAACGATCACGTTGCAACTTCTTCCATCTGTCTGTAAGCCTGATGGCAAAAACCTGCATTATCGGTTCAGAGCTGAACTTAAAGGCAGCCTTAATTTTTGTGTGTTTAAACTTTATTATGAAAAGCTGTACAACCTTTAGCGTGAAACGTCCATGCACCCATGTTCCTCGGTTCCATATCCATTTATCAGGTTTTAGTGTCACGGAGATCAGCATCCTGTGCCATTAAGCACAGGGTTTAGAACAGGGGGGGCCCCGGATAGGACTCGGGGCCCAGCACGAGGCCCCCAACACAAACATACAGGCTACCTCGCGGTCATGCAACACAAGCAGCTTTAGTATATATCACCTGCATTGCATGTGGGAGGAAATAATCTCATCGGGACCAAACCCACATGTACACCGCAGGAGAGAAACCACACATGCAGACATCCAGTCAGATTTGAACCCGCAATACTGGAGGTGTGAAACAGCAGCGCTTAATGGTAACTGTCTGTCGCACTGTACATTATTTCAAAAGCAATGTAAATTCTATAAAAAGCTTCCATTGTTAATATATTTTTGACTCTGCTTTATTTGAGAAGCATTAGTGTCATCCGTCTTGGTGTTAATTCAGATGAAAGTTAATCCTGGCTCTTACACTTTGATACATTAATATACATTCTACTGAGAGCCTTGCTGAGGTTCTTTTTAACTTTTACGAACCTCTCACCCGGTTCGCAAAATGGTCAGCTGGCTATGAGCAGCTGAGGTTAATCTGTGACAGGATAAGGCTCCAGAGAGTGACGAACTACAGGTGGCGCTGTGGTTAAGAAGTATGATTTACGAAAGGTCGAGGAGCCTAAATCCAGGGAGAGGAACTTTGTGAGAAGTAAATCCGGAAACACTTCATCAGTAAACAAACGCTTTTGCCTTTGTTCCAAACTGCTGGTTGATTATTTCGACGGCGCTGTGAGATCATCCCTGTTTTGTCACACAAATCAATTGTGTTTAGTAAATTTCACGAAAACATATTTCAGTATTATGCCTTTCGGAAACAAATGCTCCGCATGACAATAAAACACTGACACTCACAATACTTTTACTATTATCAGATTATGTAAAGAGCTGAGTCTAATGGAAACAAGTAGTGCAATATTAAATGCAAAATAACACAGTTAAGGGAGTGACAGCCTTTGTTGTATTGACTTGAAACTGTTATACAAAACATCACCCAAATTAATATATAATCAAAACATTATGTATTAATTATCATATTATTTTTTAAAAATGTACATATTACATTGATGTCATCGAATAAGGCAGTATTTATGTAATCTTACTTTTAGTACTTATTACCGAGATATTATCATGCAGAGATTCCTTTAGATGTTGTAATAAAGACCATCATCAAAAATAAAATTGCTGTGAAACACGCCTTTCATGTTTTTCTCAAAAAAACCCCTCTACAATACTCAACTATTCAGTCATTTCCTCCCTTTTAAAAAAATCTGAAAACAGCCGCTAACAAGAAAAAAACTATTAATCAAAACGATCCTTCCTCAGGAATGGTTGCAATTGCTTAAATTCTTTTAGTAGATGCTTGAATGTAAACTATTCTTTCATCAAAAGACGATAATTGAAATAACGGCAGACTCTAGCACTTGGATATGTAGTGTTCATGCCAGTACATTGACTTAGAAAAGAAGAACCCAGTAGACTGAATTAAATGTGAAAGCGATGTAAGCAGTGTATTTTAAAAAAACGATGGAATCTGCCCAGGCTGACAGGAGTCGTTCCTTCCGAAAGATTCAGCGTGGTAATGCTAGTGACCTCCGAATAGAGCTTACATGACATGGTACACAGACAAGGTTAGCGAAGGTGTTCCTCGCGCTCTGGAGGCGGGCTGCTTACAGCAGGAGGTGACTTCTGCCATTGGTCTGGATAAACACTTCAAACCCGAGGTGCCATTTTGTATAATTGGCTTAAATGCCAAGGGAGCCGCGCTATCCATTCGATGACAGCCGCCACCTCGGTGACCAATAATCATCGCTGTGAAGAGGCCCGAGTCGTAGAGCCGTGGTAGCAGATGTGGCGCAGTACATGACACTTGACTCCGGGGATCTCGCAGCTAGTAGCTACAGGGCACAGGGCGCACACGGAGTAGCAGACATTCGGAGTGACATGCCAGAAGCTCTTGGCCAGTGGTTACAGCTGCCAGGCTGAATACCAAGACCGTATCAGTTGATATAATGCACGATACAGACAGCAAAACCATTATCCTTGGCAACTGGGTGTATCTTCTTGAAATCAATTCCTTGAAGATCCTCAGTGATGATACTCTATGGAAATCAATCTGCTAATTAGTTTATATTTATAAATGAATGCATCGGTTTAATTCAATATGCAGTCGTTTACTTGCCAAAATCAGATGCGCAGATTATTTTCCTTTCAACTTTTTACAACTCGTTACACTGCCTCCTGTTGGTTCACTGTGTAAAATTTTGCTTCCCTTGAAAATCTACTATATCAGCCTTTTCAAGGTTTAAACTGCCTAAAAGAAATGGTGTGCTGATATTTACGATAAATGCTGAAGTGAAAAATATGAGTGTCCTTGGCTTAAAGCCTTACAGGACCCTCAAATTAGCTCCACTAACCCTACAGATGCCATGACAGAACATACTCAAAAGACATACACTCTTATGGCACCCTGACAAGCTACATTTCATCGTACATCTCATTTAGCAAAATTAATGTACCTCAGTTTACATCTTAGTTATCAATCAACAAAATGATATCGGTCAACAAAATCAGGAAAAAAATCACTGGGCAAGAAGTCGTGTCATTTTATGACATTAAGAATCTTACAGACATAAAATAAAATTCTCTATGGTGTGGCTGGCATTAACAGTTCGACCTGGCTGGAAATGTGCGTGGATGGCACTGGGTTCAGCAAGACTCTGAACACGGTTTGTTCAGGGGCTGGGGCACCAGGATGCTGAAAGGGAACTCCGCTTCTTTACATAGGTACTACTTTGAGTGTTTTTCCTAGTGTCCAGTTTGACAAGAATACTGTAAAAAGTTCTAACAACTGAAACTAAAAACCATTAAACGATTGACCTCCATGTCAGAAGACACTTTCACCTCAGTGAGTTACAACACGTTACGAGTCCTACATGCACATTTCATATAGATCGCCGCCCCCCGCTAAACCACTCTGTTACACCATGTATAGACAGCATAACAGATTATTCTTCATGTCAGTCAAAATGTAACTCCAAATATTACAGTGTCTCATGCTGCTAAGTATGGCAGGATTTATAATTGGATTTCACCAATATGCATCAGTACCTCATATCATTGTGACTAAAGCTTAAAAACATCTTTAAGTGACCCTTTCACAGTGCCTGCTGTCCATCCATGCGATCGAACAAGAGAATAAAATT